GAGGAATAAAAGGAAAGGCTAAACCCTTAATTGTCCCATTCTCAATTTTTTATTTTTAAAATTTTAAATAAGCTGGTAAATTAATACCAATGCATGTAAAGGTTTGTAACTTTGTACATATATATTTGAAGATTTAAAAAGGAAGAAAAATAATATACAAAAAATGTTTGTTGTTGTTTTTTTGTAATTAAAGAAATGTCCTTATTTTTGATGGCGGGCATGATAACTTCTCACTGGAACATCGGAATCCGAAAATTCCAACGGTGTTAGAAAGAGTACATGTCTGGCTCTCGTATAAACTAGGATTATTGACTTCGCCAAACAATTAACAAAATAGCGGAACATTGATTTTTTTTCTTTTTGAAAAAACGCCTATTTTTGACCACAAACTATGTTAAAAAATAAGGAAGCTATTCACCGATTGGCTTTATCCTAGTTCATACGATAGCTATACACTCACAGAGAAACGTCCCAAAATTTGAAATCAATTGGGTTATTAGTTTTTGAGTTATCGTGCCCTCCATTCGCAAAAACGCTGTTTGGAGAAAAACGCGTTTAAAGTATGAGAAGCCCTCTTGCTGTCACCTGATGCTAACATAATAAATCGGCTATATCTTCAAAAATTGTTGAGATTTTCACTTGGAAATTTATAGAGACATTCTCCGATCATACACTGTGGTACTAAGGATAGGTAAGTCGACTTTTTGAATTAAAAAGTCGAAATCCACTTTTCATAATGGTAAAAATATTTTCAGGATCAATATTTGGTTTTGGTTTATTATAAAAAAAATAATATTCTATTATCTCAAACATGAAATTTAATTAGTCGGAAAAAGTCGAAAATAAATGTTTATTCGTCCGTCCATCTGTCCATTATATGTTCTAAACACGATATTGACCCATCGCTACGAAATTTTGTATGTAGGACAGGTTCTGTCCAAGAAGACCCCAATATAAATTGTATCAATTTAAACGTCAACCGCTCCCCTTGGATATACTATCTACTCTCGGATCTACGTCCTGCAGAAATAAAATTAAGGAATGAAATTGACCAAAAATATGTTTAAAACTTTATTGATTTATAATAAAAACATACAAACCCTACAAATTATTTATAATATTAACTAATAAGTAATTTTAGTTTTTTCCCAAGTAATTGAAATAATAAAAGTTGTGTATTTTTTACAGGCTATAACATCAAGCCATATCGCAACACATCAAAAAACCCAAAATCAACAGAAAGTGCTGTAACAATATCCGAGATTACCAAAGGGTAAGTTAATCAGTCCAATATTTTCTCGACCAACGTTTTTCTCACAGACAAGAGTCATTTTTTTAAATATTCATTAAGAAAATATTATTACAATTTGGAAAACGATAAATTCTGTGAATTGTTACATCAACTAATACAACTGAATATATCCACAATATAATTGATAAATATTCACTTCAATTTGTTTGTAAGAACATTTTGTTTATTTTATAATCGCTATCATTACATGACAATAAACATGTTATTTGAGGTTTATCTGTATCCATATTCTCTGCATATCTTTTGTTTTCGGTTTCAGTGTGTTATGCTCATTTTTCGTTCGCACAATGTATCTACGCTCTCAGTGTATCGGTTTGTTGTGATTGTTTTTCGTGGAATAACACTATGGATCATTTCAATACGGACAATACGTATATACAAATGTTTTATAAATATATGTTGGTATCTAAAATATTAGTTCAACGAAGGGTGCCCTGAGGTAATTGCAAACATATGTTGATTTTATTGCAATGGAATATTTGCATACGCTATCGATTATGTCCGCAGACATTTAACATGGATGTTATGACGTCTAAATAGACTATCAAATATGATCCGGAACGAATCGAGCCTCATAACTAATTTTATCCAAATATTGGTATATATAACATCAATTGTATGGCCATTTGGCTGGGTATATAAAAAGGCGTTAAGTCTCAAAATTATGAGGGCAGTTTTTCAGTTACAAAGTTCCTACTCCTAGAAACGTGATATGGATCGATCAAAATACAAAAAAAATTGCATAAAAACAAGTAAAAATGTCCATCATGAACTGGACATTAAAGATACCTAAAATGGATTGGGACTTGACGAAGCCTATTTGCTGTATGTTTATATTTATCATTGGGTACAAATCTCCTTAACTAATATTATAAATATTGGGCCATGTTTTGGGGTTGACCCAATTATTCGATATTATGGGCATATTTTTCAACTGAATTTTATTAAAATGATTTATTAGTGTTTGACTTTTTGAATAAATAGGACGATATAAAAAACTGAAAATGTGATGGCTAATTCTGCTAGCATCTTCAAAATACAAATAATGCCAAAATGTGCTCCATTGAAATATTGATTTTAGACCCCATGTTTCTTTGGACAAAATCCGTTTCAGACATTTTGGAGTCGAATCCATGTTTGTAAATCATAATGGGGCCCATCTGTCCATTCCTTCTGATATCTTCCCCTTAAAGTGACAACATTTTAAAGGGCCGAAATTTTGAAAATCCAAGATCTGTATATCGTCACATCGATGTCAAACCTAGATCAAGTTCGAAGATGGGGCCGATATTTCCACTCCTTCTCGTAACCACCCCCGCAAAAATTTTGAAATTTTGTAAATCTAATATCTAACGGGTGACATGCTCGATCCAAACCCAGATCAAGACTGAATATGGGACCCATCGCCCAATCCTTTTGGTACTTTAAAATTTAAACAAAGTCCATCCTCTCTGCTGCCTGGTCATAAAAACAAGATTATTGAATACTAAATGTGTGTGTGCGTGTCTCAGTATTTTCTTACTGAATCTGACTATAACACCAATTGATAAATGTTTACTTGTTTAAAAAAATCATTACTTAGTGACTCGTTTAGCTTCCAAAACATGTTTGTAAAAATTTTTTTAGTGGGTTTTTATAATATACCTCCATAAGTTGGAGTGTTGTTCTGATTGTATAGCACATTTTCGTACTAAACATTTTTAATTTTGGGTCAATATTGCTCAGAAACTGGCCGGGCCGAACTTAACATAATTTTTAATTGTTTTAAATAACAAAATTTGGAATTTCTTTTATATGGAAGAATTTTGTTACTCACTGTCTTAATATAAAAAATACTCACTTCTAACTGTATAAAAATTCCAAATTCCTTCTGTATCAAATATCGTCAAATTTTTTTCTATATAGAATTTCGCCAAATTACAAGTTACAGTCGACGCCCGGTATAACGAATACTCAGTTTAAAGAATTCAGAATATATCGAATGACCAAAATAGTCGACTTTTTACACTGACTATCGCATTAAGGAACGTTTCCCATATTTCTATACTGGGTATAACGAATTACGCAAAACATAATGGACTAGCCTTATAAAAATATGTAAACACGTTATTATTACTGTTATTACGTTAATCAATATATTTTTTGTTAGAAATCCATTGAAAAGTGGATTATCTTTTTTGTTTTTAAATAAAATTGCACATTAAAGAACTTCGCGATATAACGAATTATTCGCTATAAAGTATGGGCCTGACAATATATCATTCGTTATACCGGGCGTTGACTGCATATTGAATTCTACTTAGTATAGAACGCCTTATAATACACAAAAACATAACCAATGTTAGAAGACCTTCACACATTGGTTCCTTATATAGAGATATCTATAATTTACAATCAATTTTCTCATGGCATTTCTCCCTTAAATCCAACTCCACACGATTTTTTGACTTCTAAATAATATAAAGTTAATCGGTTAATCAACCTCGACTTAATTTTTTGATTATCTGACTATTTTCATTAAATAATAATAACTAAATATGTACTATGTTTAACTGAAAATTTTTAAACTCCAAAATCTGTAGTGTGGCTTCATTGATTTGTATACTGCCCTCTAGCGGACACTCCTTTAAATAAGTTAGTTTTTATTGTGATTTATTCACATTTTGTGGCGGTTTGTGGCTTGTATGTGGAACATATCGAAAACACAAACCATCAGTATGCCTTATCGAAATACTTGTTATGTTTAATTTACCATTTGTTATCGATAACATTGATATATGGGACAATGAAATTTGTCAACAGCTGTGGGAGTCATTAATTTTCTAGTTTTGACAAGAACCAAAAAATTATGACATTATTGAAACAGCCACAAACCAAAGTGGAATATATTCACAGTGTGAATGATGACATGTGGAAGGGAACTTTTCAAAGACCTTGTCTCTAGAATTACATGGAGTGTATTTTAAATTTGTCATTTCGTTTGCAACACTTCGCAATATTCTTCGGTTTTGACATGGACCCCATATTGCGACCTGCTTCGTGAAGGGTATTATGTTCGTCTTTTATACAACAGTGAAGTCCTTAATTAGGCATTGCGAGTTGCTGTGTGTTTTCTTCGAATAAAATTGTGGATATAGGTCCTTGTTTTTGGCATAACCTACATACTAAGGTCCCGTGCGTAGGTCGTAGCCCAAATTTCATAGGATAGAAAATCTACTAGCAGACCAATCTAAACCTGTTTATGGTGTTTAGAATTTACCTCATGGTATAAAAAGTTCTCCCCGACATTTTTACTTGTCTGAATTAAAATAAAACCACATATTTATATTTAATTATTACTATTTAATTTATTTATAAAAATAAAGCTTTTTTAATAAGTATTTTATTCATAAAAATACAATAAAATACATAATAGTGTCATGTGGATTTTTTTTTATTAATTAATTACTATCAATGGGATTTTGTTTTAGAAAATATTTTAGTCGTTAGTTGTTGTTGTTTTTTTAATATAAATTCATTTACACATACTAATATTTGTATATAGGAAATTTATAATGGTCAACCTGAAATAGATGGCAACATCATTATGGAATTAGTACTATTTACACCCTGATGCAAAACAGTCTATGACTAGACCAAACAAACAAAATTAACAAAACTCTTCTCAAGCCTAGGGAGGGTTTCCTCAGCTTTAATCTTCCGTTACGGTAAATGAATGTGTCTGGCCTTCGTAAGGGAAGATACCACCCAAAATGTATTTGTAATTGCCAAAATGACGTATACGATATTCACCGGGCAAGGTGTTCGGGCCGATTTTCCACTGGATGTGGACATCACTGAATCCCAAAATTAAATGGGTGCGTTCCCAAATGAACCTGGAAATAGAGGAAACATAAATAGAATTTTTATAATATTTTAAAAAGAGATTCTGCTATCTCACCTAGTATCCCAACTGGCATCTGTGTGCACCACCTTCCAACGTTCTTCATTGATTTTCCTTTCCACAGTCAAATAGGTCTTCTCGTGGAACAAATTGTTACGAGGATTGCCGGCCACAAATGTTACATGAACGGTATCGTTGATCTTATAATGTTTCAATGGTTGTTGTTTGACATAACCAAAATCTTTATCCAAAGGATGACCATCGAAAATGACACCAGTATTCATGGATAACATACGATCATTCATGTAAGGTGGCTGAGGTCCAGGTTCAACAGTTTCACCTCTGAACAAAGCCTTGGTTAAACGTTCAAAAACATCCATATAAATTGTGTGGGTATTGGGTCCAAAAATGGTCGAGGCGGCCTCATAACGTTGTGCCTGATATTCTTCAGGTGTGGTAATATAACTGGAGTAAACATTGGAAAGACCGGCGATAAGGACATCCACATCTTTGCCTCCAGTGGCAGCAGCTACTGCTCGAACTTTGTTGCGCAAACGTCTGCCAGCCATGGTGGTAAATTCGCCGGGTACAGCAGCCAAAACTAAATCGCCAATGTGACATTCTTGGGCGGGTACGATTTTCGGTTGCCATTCATAGGGGAAGGTGGCCTAAAAAGAACGATAATACAATTAATATGATCCTTAAAATAATCGTGTATTAGACTTACTCTACCAGTGGCCAATAGAATTGGTTTGGGTGAATGACAGGCAATATCGTCTTGGGTAGGGGGAACAATAAAATCACGCACCAAATTCCACATGGGATTGTCAGTCAATGTGCCCTGCTCGAAACCGAATGCACCAGGACCATCAGTAGTACCGGCAGCAAAACTGTAACCCATAGCTGGTTGACAACCACGAATTTTGTCAATCTTCCTGGTCATTGGATTGTAGGTAGTGCCATTGTAATTGGGCATATCAATGAAGTGATGAACACATCCGACGTCGCCAGTAACCTCACGTCCGCTATAATCCTCTTGGCTGGCTTCATTGAGAAGACGCTGGAAATGATACAAAAATATACAAGTTTTAAAGTCAGAATAAAAAAGTCATATCTACGTTAAAAATTGGAGGCTCGAAATTTCAATGTAGGCCCATGTTTTGATATAAAGGAACTATTTCAAATATTCGGAATGCCTCTGGCACTCTTTACAACCTAATGGATAGAAATTTAGCATTTTGAATGCTCACATAAAAAATTGTTCGGAATAGGTTCATGTTTTAACATACTTCTCAAATAAATATCCCGTCTAGAGATATGAGCTATTTTTTATGGACAAGAGGTTATCAAAGAATAAAATACCTCCTTGACGTACGTTTTCAAAATGTTCGGTACCAATGGTATTTTGTACGATCTTCAAATAACTACTTTCAATCGAAGTAATCTCTATGAAAATACCCTATATCCCGATGGTCTATTAGGACCAGCTTAGTTTGAACTCTATAAAAACTCTCTGTCCTCCATTTCGTCCATAGACTTTCTGCTCGTCTATGAGGTCCCCTGTCATACAACTTGCCTATAACGAATCCCTAGTCTTTGGATCGCCATAAAGACAATTTGTCTTCCAGCTCGTGATTAAAGACTCTCTAGCTTGACTAAAACGGCTACCTTGCTTTTAGTTCGCATACTTCGTGGCCTCCAGTCCATCTTTGAAGGCTTTCTATCTATATATTATCACTGACCTTCAGCTCGTCTTTGTGGACTGTCTGCCTGCCGCTCATCTATAAGACTTTCACGTTCCCTCGGTCCTCAAAAAAATAACACAAAAACCCCCTTCCCAACTTACCAATGCACCCTCGGCTAACCGTTCACCAATAATCTTTGTACTCTCAAACATATCATGACCGGGACCCGATGCAAAACATTCACCTTCTTTGGGGGGACATTTCGAGGTCAACAAATCGCAAGGATTGCCACTCAACGAACACTTGGGACCCATAATATTTGGTGAGACATCACCCAAATTAGCTGAGCAGAATGCACCAACAAATTTACCCTAAAAATAAAAAAATATATCAATATTAATTTAAATATTTTAGAAACAAAAATTCGCTAAACCTTACCTTTCCTGGAACCTTATTGGCATTATATTCCTTTTCCAAAATCAACGAGGCGTATCCCATATTATCACTCGATACCAATTGATTGGTATTATTCATCGAAGTGGGATGCACAGCATACCAATTAAAGGCACCCAAAATATTTTCTTCACGATCGACAAAACGTAGTTGGGTCAATTCCTTGTCAACATCGTGTTCATATTGAGCTCTTTCCTCGGGTGGATTACGCAAATAGGAGGTGGGTGAGCGATTGATGTTGGCATTCAAGACAGTGGTGCGTGACAGATAGATTCTGCCCTCGACCATATTTTCGGTGGCACGTTTGATACTCTATAAGAGAAGGAGAGAGGGGGAGATTTAATAAAAAAATAATAAAAATGAATATATTTTAAATTGTATTTTAAAGACAAATCATATTAAAATGATTTTTCATAGCTAAATTTATAAATTTGCCTATATATATAGGCCTATATGTCTATATAGGCCTTCTCTGTCTTTCAAATCACGTCTATATAAATTCTAAACGATTCTTTAGAAATAAGACCTTCTAAAGCATTTCTTTAGACGAAGGCTTTCCGAACAAATATATTTTGAAGAGTTTTGACAAATCATCATACAAAAGTTCCCTATAGGTCAATTGAAAAATCTCTGGCCTGATTTATAGATTATAAGGATGGCTTCTAGCCTTCTCTAAGAAAACTGCTTGTGTTCTACAAGAAGACCTCCTGTCTTCTGTAAAAAGTCTTCCTGATAGTGTATATTAGGTTCTTTTTCTGGACTTTTGCAAAAAGCCCTTCCGCTCTTCTATAAGAAGTCCTTCTATGAGAAAAGACCTTCACAGGAATTCCTTCTGATCTTCAAAAAAAGGCCTTTAGGTATTTTTAAGAATATCTTCTGGTCTATAAAAAGTCCTTCTGGCCCTCTATACGAAATCATTCTGGTTCTCTATACGAGGTTTTTCTGGTCTTCTATTGTAATGTCCTTTCTGATCTTCTATAAAATGTCTTCTGGTACTCTATAAGAAGATCATCTGATATGCTTTAAGAGGACCTAAAAGAAAAGGCCTATACGATCCATCCAGATCCTCTATAAAAATACGTTTTGGTTTTATATAAGAAAACATTATTATCTTCTATCGGAAGACCTTCTGCTCTTCTATAATAGGATTTTCTGGTCTCAATAAGAACACCTCTGGTCTTTATAAAATGACCATCCGGTCCTTATAAGATCACCATATGGTCTTCTTATGATGGCCATATGGTCTTCTTTAAGAAGAAAATCTGGTCTTCTATGGGAATACCTTCTGATCTTCTATAAAAAGACCTGGTTTTCTATAAGAAGACTTTCTAGTCTTCTATAAAAAACCTTCTGGACATCTACGAGAAGACCTTCTATAAGAGGACCTTCTGGTCTCCTATAAGAATACCTTATGAAAACCTTCTTGTCTTCTATAAGAAGACCTTCTGGCATTCTTTAAGAAGATCTTCAGGTAAAGATTCGATAATATTTAGGGGATGAAATGGACCAAAAACTTTATTTTTGTCTTTATTTTCTGGTCGCTCCAGAGACCGCAATTATGGCCCAAACATCGCTAATTTGTACATGGAGAAGGGGATCGGGCCAGAGAATAAACATGCATGTTTTAATAATTTGTGTGAAAAATTACAAAATTTGTATTCTATAGCGTATATATTTACCCCTGAAGGACATAGACCCGAGAAGTTAATAGTAAATCCAAGAGGAGTGGTTGACCTTTAAATTAATACAAATTATATTGTTGTATGTACTTGGATGTGGGAGTTACACTTAAATAATTACAGGTGCTTACGTATTCATATATTATTTAGTAACCCATTACCACACTAGGGGCGGAAATATAGCGCTGATCGCTTTAAAATTTTCCGTGATGATCTAGGTATGGTCAAGAACAACCCCAATAATTTTCGGTGATGATCAGATAATAATTTTAGGGTGAAGTGGACCGAAAACTTATTTTTTGTGTATTTTCAAGTTGATATATAGGCCTCAATTGAAAGCCGAACATCACAATACAACCCACGGTAAAGGGAATCTGGAGAAGTAATTAGAAGGATTGTACTAAATATTAGTCATAGTTTTTGACCTCTAGTCATTCAATAGGGTGCAAATATCGCGATATATTGCCCAATCCACAGAAAGTTAGATTTTTGTCTCCGTCCAACTATACTTCTCCGCTTACTGGTTTTATTATGTGAAGAATTTTCAGTAATGAAAATCTTATTTAAAATGTCTATTCTTTTAGTGGATCAGAAGAATTTCTCATACTTCTGATCTACTAAAAGAATAGACGTTTTAAATAATTTGTATAATCACAATATCTTCTATAAGACTATTAAATCCTCCATAAGAAAACTTAAGGTCCACAATAAAAAACCTTGTGACCTTCTAAAATAAAATATTTCCACAAGAATTCCTTCTGATTTTCTGATCCTCCATCCTAAAATATACATTCTAGAAAACCTTATGGTCTTCTAAAAATACATTCTGGTCTTCTTAAGAAAATCCTTCTAAAGAGAAACGCTCGGATTTTTATAGAAAGAGGACCTTCTAAAGATATTCTATGACCCGAAGACTTGTGGGCGGAATACCTTTATAAAAAAAAAAATTGGGCCAGGACCTATAAAATAACTTTTAAAGCTATACGATTTCTCGTGACATTTCAAAAGGTCTATATCAGATATTCCTACAACTTCGGATGAAAAAATTCGATACTACTATTTCTTCTAAATTATTATTCATACTTACCAAATAGATACCATTAGCCAAGGCCTCGAATGTTTGAGGGACAAAACCCAAAATCGAAATATCATAGAGCAGATGCATGAGGAAACCACCGGGGGCACCGTGTGTGTGAGTTCCACTGATGATGACATTATCGTTGTGGTAAACATCTCCATAGCGTGTTTGCAAGCGTTTAATTACCTACAAAAATGGGGAGAGGAGAAACGGGTGAGAAATGCAAATTACAATTTTTTATAATTTATTAAAAATGAGTAATTATTTCAATGTAAAACTAGAACATGTTAGTAATTTATCTTGGCGACTAATCGGTAAATATTGACCAAGAACATTTATAATTAATTTTCATTATTAATAAAAACACATTTTACTTGAGTTACAAATTACATGATACATAAAAATAAACAAACATGGGGATATAGTCGACAATGGAAATAAACACAAGCCATAAAATATTAATAATAAAGAATATACTCATATAAGAAAATACGCTTATAACTAATATATTGCATTTTTTCCAACTTATTAAATTCATTGTCCATTGGCCCAATGGACTTATAAAACATCACATTTGTTTGCCACTTACCTCCCTCTTAACACCATAACCCATCATACCGGCATCCACCGATACATAGGCCATACGTTTTCTGTTATTGTCCTCAACAACAAATGCACGGGCGAATTGTCGCAAATGTATGCCACGACCAACCTGTTTGATATTGGCATAACCCATCTGCAATACAGAACAACAACAAAAACAGTTCACCAAAATTACAAAATCATTAAACAAGATTCAATATGAATTCGCCAAAAAATGCTACTACTTACAAAATTTATTTCAACCGGTGGACCAGTAACATCGGCACGACCTAAACCAACTTGATAGGCGACAGCTGAATAGCAGCCTAGTGCCAGCAGCAGCAAACCGCACAGACTAAACGATTTGAAATTCATGTTCGGTGTTCTTCTACTATCACGTTAATGTTGTAAATTTTACGTTTTGTTTTAATACACCATAACCGCGTTATCCCCGTTTTAGAATATGTTATTTCGAAACTGGAAATAGAAAATTGAAAAACAAACAACAATGTAATTAGTTTTAGAAAAATATTGTAATTTCCTTATAGCTAGTAAAATTGTTTATTTGGCTGTTATTGAAAAGTTGAAGACCGTGATAATTTTGTTTTAAAATTTGAGTAAAAATAGCGAAATACGGTGGGTATCAAGTGAACAAAACATGTTATTATATATTGCGAATTTTTAGACAATTGAACCTCAACATACGGAATTACACATAACAATCGCTTGGGTGGACAAATTCGGATAAAATCTTCAAATTATTGAAAATGGAGATTTTCTTAAGAAATAGTTCCGTTTCTTACGAAAATCTTCGTTCTTATATAGGAATCAGTTTTTTCTGTTCTTTTCCAAGACCACCTTCTAGGTTTCTATAAGGAGAACAATTCATATACTACAAGAAGCCCCTCTAGTATTCTATATGAGGGCCTTATAGTATTCTATAAGTAGTCATTCAGGTTTTCTGCAAAAATATATTCTGGTTCTCTAAAAGATTACCTTCTCATCTTCTAAACACCTTTTCCCTATAAAAGAGATTTTGTCTCCTATAAGGATCATCTATAAAAATACCATCCGATCTTCTATATAAAAAATGTAAGTCCCTCTGAAATTGTATAAGACTGGATTGTCCAAATGTTATTTATATACAGAAAATCATCCCCCCAGAAAAGACTTTCAGTCTTCCATAAGACTCTCTAATCCTTCATAAGAAAAACATCTGGTTTTCTATAAAATAAACTTTCTGGCAATTCCTTCTGTTCAAGATAAGTCCTCCACTATCAAAGTTAAACAATTCTCAAATCGATAAAACATTATAACGACAAAATAAACAATATTTCAATTCTATAACAGTTTTTAGCAACAATTGTTAAAAATGTTGTTAATAAACAACACCAAAATGTTCGAAGTTAACTTATCGACAAATATTTTTCAATATTGAACATGCCTTGTTTTGTTCTGAATTTGTATATATTTTGTTTTCAAAATGTTCAAAATTAAAAGCTTTTTGAAAGTTTGTCGACAATTTGTCTACATCTTTACAGAATAACATTTTCGTTACTGCAAACGATTTTATGTGTAGACAAAATTGTCGATTGTCGGATCGTTATAAGTTACTGAATCGACCCACTGGTATTCTATAAAAATACCTTCAAATCTTCTATAGAATATTGACTATTATCCTTTGAGAAACTAAAATGAGATTTTAATTGGAAAATTCGGCAAGGAACTTCAAAATACAGTACGCTTATAACGAACTTTCTTTATACCGAACACATTTCCTGGTCCCGAATTTTTAAGACGGATTTTTCATACAAATCTTTACACTTATAGCAAACTACTGATATAGCGAACTTTTCCTATAACGAACTATTTATTCGGTCCCAACTACCACTTTTGATTTATTTTAATTCGGTTATAACGAACTTGTAGCAAATATACATAATACCTAACCATGATAATCCGCACAAAAATTAATTTATACCCTAACTCTGGCAACCTTTACAAAAAAATACCATGTTCATCAAAGTAAGAGAGAAGCGGCTTTATTATTGTCAAATATTATACAAAAACTGCCAATTTCGGAACTGCATATATTTTTCCTGCTTTTCCTAGGGTTTGTCTTACTTTGCATATAAAGAACTTCTTCTATAACGAAATAGTTGGCTCGGTCCATTCTAGTTCGCTATAATCGAACTACTAAAAAAGAGACTAGGTCTTTAAATATAAGTGCAATGACAAAACAAAGACTTATTTTGAAAAAATTGTGGAAAGAGGTAAATACCTCTCTAAAAATTAGATATGTCGAATTATAGCCAGGTAGACCTATGGGGGGATATGTTATATGGGGGATATGTTATAGCATTGGAGGAGGGTTTCGAGTCACTTTCTGAGTCGATTTATGCATGTCCATCCGTCCGCCCGTCTGTCCATGTTAAATTATAAACAAAGTACAGGGCGTATTTATAATCCGATTTGGATGAAATATGGCCTAGCTGAATTATTTGGCCCAAGAACGAACCCTATTCAAAACCAGTGAGCGGAGCAGTATAGTCGGACGGGGCCGACCATATGATACCCTACACAACTTCCATGAACAACTAACTTTCTGTGGTACCACATTCTGAGCTTGGGCAATATTTCGCGATGTTTGCACCCTGATGACCCACCAGAGGTCCAAAAATATTACTAATATTCAGTACAGTCCTTCTAATTACTTGTCCACATTCCCTTCAATGTGGGTTGTTTTGTAATGTTCGGCTTTCAATTGTGACCTGTAGACCGACTCGAAAAAAAACAAAAATACGTTTTCGATCCACACCATCTCTATATTATTATCTGATCATCACCGAAAATTATAGGCGTTGTCCTTGACCATACCTGGATATTAGTGAAAGCGATGAGCGCTATATTTCCATATTTCCGCCCTCTAGTGTGGTAATGGGTTACTAAATAATATCTGAGTACGTAAGCACCTGTAAACATTTAAGTATAACTCCCACATCCGATTACATACGACAATAAAATTGGTATCAGTTTAAAGGTCAACCACTCCTCTTGGATATAATATCGACCTCTCGTGTTTATGTCCTTCAGGGGTAAATCTATACGCTATAGGATACAAATTTTGTCATTTTTCACACAAAAGTCAGGGTCCATTTGACCCGCTAAAATCGGACTATATGATTTTTATAAATTGGTGCACCAAACTCCAAAGGTTTTTCCAATGGCTACAAACATTTTTAGAAATGGTACACTAAACTCCTATGACTTGTCCATTTCAGATGGAAATTGGAATACCGTTCTGTGTTGAGTCTAAAATGACGATTGTTAAGTTTCGTTGAATTCGGTTCTGAGTTACATGTAGCTCCCATAAATTTTCGTCCGATTTTATATAAATTGTGCACCAGTTACTAAAAATTTTCCGATAGCAATAACATTTGTTAGTGAGCATACAATTCTATGTATTAAACTTCGGTTAAAACGATTCATATAAATCTACGAAAATAATGCTCCTAATGACCCAAGTTTTCTTCGATTGCACAGCGTGCGAAATAAGATTCAGATTTAGATATAGCTTCCATATACATATATGTATATTTTTATCTGTTTTGTTGTTGTGTATACCCAACGTAGTGAAGGGTCCCGTCCGACTTTTGATCTTTCTTTACTGTTTTTTACATGCACTTCTTTCATTTGATTCGAAAATAATGATAGAAGAAAATGTCGAAGATACTTCAATTGACATTCGGTTTTAAAGACGTCCGTAAAATTGTCCAAAAGAATTTCATTAATTTGGTATTTTGGCTGGGTCATCATTCGAATTTCGAGATTCCAACGTATGTAGGTATTTGACTATATTTCTATATTTGACACAGTTTGTATAACCATACCACCTACGTATTTTTTAAGATATTAGGTTAAAATATTTTAGCAATTTTTTTTATTTTAGCAAATGAGCACCTCTTTCTCAAATTCCAAATTTAATGTATTTTAATAATTTTCAGGGTTTGGATCGCCGAACGTATACCGTTTTGTACTTATTACTTCATATCATCATCGACATTTTTATTCATAATCTCAATATGATATTCTGTTACATAAAAAAAAAACATTCAAAATTTCTTTGTTCCAATTTCTTTGTCTATCTTGATGATGGTTGCAATGAACCCTCATTTCTATTATTTTCATTTTTTTTTTTTTTTTTTTTTTTTGTGATAAAAAACATTTGTCTTCCAAAAAACCCCTAAGATTATTTTAAATGAATTAGAATCCCAACAACACTTATCTACTCAATTTTTTGTTTTTGTCAACGTCACGTAGAGGGAGGATTGCTGTGTGTTTTGACCTTTTGTCCGCCCGATCGTAATAAAAATTTTTTTGTTGAACATTTTATCGCACAATAGAATTATCAGAAGCGGGTACTGACTGCGTCACAGGGGGATTGTCTTTGTTTTATTATTATTCTGAAATATAATGTAATTTCCAATACTTTCTTAAGAAATATCAGCCATAGGCGTGGATTTTTAAAGAATATTTTCAGAAGGACTATCACAGCCATTGGCGTGGATTTTTAAAGAATATTTTCAGAAGGACTATCACAGCCATAGGAGTGGATTTTTAAAGAATATTTTCAGAAGAGCCATAGGCGTGGATTTTTAAAGAATATTTTCAGAAGGACTATCACAGCCATAGGCGTGGATTTTTAAAGGATATTGTCAGAAGGACTATCACAGCCATAGGCGTGGATTTTTAAAGGATATTTTCAGAAGGACTATCACAGCCATAGGCGTGGATTTTTAAAGAATATTTTCAGAAGGACTATCACAGCCATAGGCGTGGATTTTTAAAGAATATTTTCAGAAGGACTATCACAGCCATAGGCGTGGATTTTTAAAGAATATTTTCAGAAGGACTATCACAGCCATAGGCGTGGATTTTTAAAGAATATTTTCAGAAGGACTATTACAGCCATAGGCGTCGATTTTCAAAGAATATTTTCAGAAGGACTATCACAGCCATAGGCGTGGATTTTTAAAGAATATTTTCAGAAGGACTTTCACAGCCATAGGCGTTGATTTTTTAAGAATATTTTCAGAAGGACTATCACAGCCATAGGCGTGGATTTCTAAAGAATATTTTCACAAGGACTATCACAGCCATAAGCGTGGATTTTTTAAGATTATTTTCAGAAGGACTATCACAGCCATAAGCGTGGATTTTTTTTAATTATTTTCAGAAGGATTATCGCAGCCATAGGCGTGGATTGAATGACTATCTTAGCCATAGCCGTGGATTTAAAAAAATATATATTTTAAGGACTATCCGAACCATAAGAGAGGATTTAAAAAAATGTTTTTGCAAGGACTATCCAAGCC